TCGTGCAAAAAACAACAACGTTGCATGCTCGCGCGGCATCGCGCCTAGACTGATTCTGGCTGGACAGGATTTACTGCGAGTTTTCAAAATCACGATAATCAAACTCGGTTTTAGTGATAATTAAATTTTAAACGATAATACTAACCGTCAGGAGATGTTATCATGGTTTATCGTGAAACCGGTAATCGTCCCATCCCTATTACATTTATATGTGGATCTTAATCTATTTATTTGTGAATTTGATCTATTTTTGTGAATCTCTTTACATTTATTTGTGGATCTCAATCTATTTATTTGGAATAATACAACAATTCTAACCCCATAATAAACACATTATTATAACCCAATGAGATGATGCCACATTACATCAACAAATCTGTTGTCATAAATAGCTTTGAACATTCAAGCTTTAACTTTCTTGATTTTTCTTCTTTAAAAATTGTGTTTAAGATCAATTGGTTGAGGCAGTTTTTGAATGATTCTGATTCTATATGGAATAATATATTATTCCATAAATATATTATAATATATATTATAAAGTTGGTGGTCTCCCCTTTCTGTTAGTATATCATTAAAATGTCTCTAAATTGCCCATCAAATTGTCAAATTTCCATAAGCAGGTGCTTTTAGCCCGGCACTTGATTTACAAAAATAATTTTAGTCACCACAGGTATTTATTTTATATCCAATATATCAAAATAAAACACTTTTCTTTTCAGATTGGTTTAATAATAATATTCTTTTGGTTTCTCAACTTGGTCATTTGTTTTCTTATTCTGAATTCTTAACTATTGTGTTCCTGTCACCCCACGAGACTTTGCCATAGTGATGAGTGATGATGTCATCGCCAGTGGAGCTGTTTCGATTTTAAAAAACTCAGCTGATTCTTTACTCTCTTCTTCCTCTTGGATACATCCTTAAAGGAACACTCCGACTTTTTGAAACTTTAGCCTATTCACTTTATCCCCCAGAGTTAGATAAGTCCATACATACCTTTTTCATCTCCATGCGTGCTATAACTCTATCTGACGCACCCACCGCTAGCCTAGCTTAGCACAAAGACTGGATGTAAATGGTTGCGGCTAGCATACTAATCCAAATAAGTGACAAAATAGCGCAAACATTTTCCTATTTACATGTTGTGATTTGTATAGTCACAGAGTGTACAAAAAACGAAGTCACATGAGACACAGACATATTTTAACCGTATAAATACTGGGAACTATATTCTCTGAAGGCGAAGCACTGCTACTTGGGTGGAGTGATAACCGCAGCACCTGAGACGCGCCGTGGTGAGGAGCAGAGAGCGTGTCTCAGGTGCTGCGGTTATCACTCCGCCCAAGTAGCAGTGCTTCGCCTTCAGAGAATATAGTTCCCAGTATTTATACGGTTAAAATATGTCTGTGTCTCATGTGACTTTGTTTTTTGTACACTCTGTGACTATACAAATCACAACATGTAAATAGAAACATGTTTGCGTTATTTTGTCACTTATTTGGATTAGTATGCTAGCTGCAACCATTTACATCCAGTCTTTGTGCTAAGCTAGGCTAGCGGTGGGTGCGTCAAACAGACTTATAGCACGCACGGAGATGAAAAAGGTATGTATGGACTTTTCTAACTCTGGGGGATAAAGTGAATAGGCTAAAGTCCCAAAAAGTCGGAGTGTTCCTTTAAGAGACAGCAATAGGGAAGATTTGCTTTTTATCTAGTCCCTCTCTCAGGAATAGAAAGATTAGACAACGTTTTCACAATTAATGTCCCTTCTGTAATATCTTAATTGGAGTAATTGTTTTAATGATATTCTTTGGAAGAAAGTGTGGTCTCTCTCTATCCAACAAATATTTAATCACTAATAAAGTTAAAGAGGTATCATTCAAGTTCTTACGTCGATTTTACCCAGTCAATCTTTATATCAAAACAATGTTTCCTGTGATGGATCCCCTTTGCTACTTTAGTGGAAGAAGTCTTCCTAAAGTTCATCTAGCTACTTTTTGGAAGAAATGTTGTCTGTTTGTAAGTGCTTATTTATTAGTCAATTTTTCTTTGGTGTTTAAGGACGTCTTATTTTAATTTGATAACTCTGACAAGAATCTAAAAGACAAGCATTTTCTTTAAAATCTATTGGTTTTTCTAGCCAGGTTTTTTGTACAAAAGTGTAATTTTTTGTCTGTCAAACCTCTTTTTATTATTTTTCGCAAAGAGCTGAAATGTTATTTGGGTACTATCTCTTCTTCCAGCAATGTCAAAGCTTTAAAGTCCATTACGTTGAGAACAAAGTATAATATTTATAGGTTTTTTTATAATGAAAACAAAAAAGGGGGACTCAAGGCATTTCTGTCTCTCTCTCTCTCAAATTTAATTTAAATTATATTTTACCCCAGGCTTAATATTTGTTACATGTATTCATAGCAACGTTCTTTAAAAGGTTTTTGTGCACAGTAAATCTCATATCTACAATACTTACATCATGTGGAACTGGTGCATGGCTCTTGTAGTGATGATAGTAAATCACAGCAGCAGTTACAACTGCAGAAACCAGCAGAACACCAACAACTATCCCTGCTACAGCTCCTGAAGACAGACCTGAATCTGGAACAAAGACAGACAGTCATCATTACAAAAGAGTGAATGTTTATCCATCCAGTATTTACCAATAACTTTGACTGAAATTTACACCTTTATACTTTTGTCATCAGCTGTATGATATTGTTTTAACTGATAAATGCGCCTTTTGTTTTTAGCAACTGCAGCTCAAAAAGCATCAGCACTTCGAGCTAAACTAGCAGCAGCATTCACAGGAAAACTGGCTGATATTATGCATTTAGCATGTTAATAACATTAGTCAAAGTGTCACTGACTCAAAACTTACTTTTTTAAACAGTCCACAACCCAACACTTATTGAGTTGATTGAGGAATCTGAAATTTATTTCAATATTTTAAAAGGAAAATACACTGAATGACTCAATTATACTCACCGATGACAGAAACACTGAATCTCTTCACTCTAGTGATGCTGAAGATTTTGCTGCTGCTGATGATCTGTAGTTTATATTCTCCAGAGTCTGTGTTTCTGGTGTTTGTGATGGTCAGAGATCCAGTCTGATGATCCAGCTTCAGTCTGTCTCTGAATCTCTCAGTGCCTTTATTACACTGAACATCTGTACAGATATCACTGAGATCTCCAGTGATTTCAGCGACGACAATGTCATTAAAATACCAGGTCATTAAATCATTTGGTTTTCTTGCTACAGGAGGGTCAAAAGTGATGGATTCTCCCTTGTTTTTCTTCACTTCATCTGTTTCAACAGCAGTGACATCTGAAACACAAACCAAACAGATGCTGGAGGATCTTTTGCTGAAAACAAATAAAAACAACATGAGAGATCTGTGAACATGACTACGATTGCATAAGCCCCTTCTTGACTTTTGATCTGAAAAGAAACATTTTGGTTTGTGACTATAAACGCACATTAACGCTGTGCTTTAAAAATATATAAACTGCATTTAAACATTATTAAATGACTCACCTTGGACATTAACACTGAAGATCTTTTCACTGTCGCTGCTGCTGAAGATCTTCAGTCTATATTCTCCAGAGTCTGTGTGTGTGATGTTCATGATGGTCAGAGATCCAGTCTGATGATCCAGCTTCAGTCTGTCTCTGAATCTCTCAGTGCCTTCATTACACTGAACATCTGTACAGATGAAACTGAGATCTCCACTGATTTGTGCGAATCGAGTGTCATCAAAATACCATTTAATAACTTCTTGTTGGTTTGTTTGAACACCAGTGTTTAGAGTGACTGAATCTCCCTCCATCACAGACACTGCATCTGATCCAACACCAGACGCATCTGAGCAAAACACAATAGTGTAGAGTTTTTTGTTCTACAGATCATAAATGTGAGTAGAGAAATATGCCTGGATTCATAATTTTAAACATGCAAATAAACATCAGAAAAAATCTCAGACTAACACATTGACTCATCAGACAAACATGAGTCTCATGAATGAGAGTTTAAAGGTGCTCTAAGGCTAAGCAATGTCGGGTGACGTCACTTATTGTTAACGTTTAAAGTATTGTCAAACAAAACGGAGGCTAGCTAGACCCTCCCTCCCTCCTCCTCACCCGCGCACTAACCCCCCAAACCCACCCCCAAATTCTTCTTGTCTGGAACAGTTTGTTATGTTTGGTGGTGTGGGTTAGCACAGTTTGTTTTGTTGCTGTTTGTGGAGCCTGGGGTGTCTGCAGAGACCGCATTTTTTTACAGTGTGTTCAGGGGACAGGCAGCTAGATAGTGAGGAAATGTTTGCTGTAGGCTATGTGACAAAAAATGTTGGCTTAAAAAACGCGTGACATCGCTTAGAGCACCTTTAGGTCCCTAAACAACCCACGTAAATAACGTGTATAAGGCAACATTTACATAATTTGGCATAAGCTTTACCAAAGCGAATCACATTATAAGCTACATGCACAATGTTAACTTTTACTTATGTTTATTGTAAAAGTTGAGTAGCTAGTTTAAAAGGACACATCGCGCAGCTGATCGGATCTCGTTTCAACTGCGTTAAGGGGGTCGCACACCATAAATTAAACATTTATTTGTCTCAAATCGTCGTTAATCTAGCCTATAGGCTACGTTAGGCCTATTTTCAATTCATGTTATCGGACGCTCTGGGGTAAAGTTCTGACTGCAGACTCAGCAACGATTGTATTAACAGTACAATCATAACATAGTAGCCTACAGCCATTATCTTAATTCCATAATGTCCTTAAACTTAAAAATATTGCTGGCCATAAACATAAAGAGAAAGTGCGCGTCCGGTGGGTGATACCTTTGTCCTAGACGCGACGCTGCGGTTCTCGTCCGGTGTGCGACCACCTTTTCAACTGAACTATTTTCTCAACAATAAACCTAAACCGAATCTAGCAATCACGTGCCACAGATATGCAGCCTACAGGTCGCAACTGATGTTAACAAAGAATATGTCTTACTGTGGTCGAGTAAAAATAAAATCACTGTAAGCACGTTAAAGAAAAGCTTCATTTTCACCCCTTTTCTCCTCAGAAAACGAATTCAGATTCTCATTCATTAGTGTTATTGCCTAGCTACTTCTGATTTAATGGTCAAATGCAAAGTGAAAGTAAACCCTCCATATGAAACAGGGGCGTAGAATTTATAGGGATGATATAGGGAAGTGTCCCAATAGTGACACTGATTTGTCCCTAGCCATAATTTCGATCAAACAATTAAATATTTTTATATATAACCACTGTTGCCTGATTGGGTCTTGTGGGTTTTACGTAGTTCTTATTTTATTTAACCAGGAAACATCTCATTTAGATTAAAATCTATTATAAATCTATTTTTAAAATGCGCAAATCCTGGAACACAAACGGTTAATAGATCTAGGTCCCGCCTGCTTAACACACATCGCTAAACTGATTGGCTGCGTTCGGAATCGCATACTTCCCTACTATATAGTAGGCGAAAAGAGTAGGCGAGCGAAAAAGTACGTTCGAATCCTCAGTATTCATAAAAGAGTAGGCGAGAATTACCTGGTTGACGAACTAACTATCGCGAGATTTGGACGATAGTGCGTTCGAATATGCCTACTTTCCTACTATATAGTAGGCGAAAACAGTACGTGAAAGAAGCAGTACGTTCGAAACATCAGTATTCCTAAAAGAGTAGGCGAGAAGTTCCCGGATGATCTCCTGCTTTCGCCCAGACATTTGAGTGCTTTTCAGCTCATCTATCCCAGGAGGCCACGCGAGAGGATACGATATAAAAAAGAACAAGAAGAAGTAGATATTTCATACTCAAACATGACGGAAAGGGTGGACGAGTGTTTTCAAATGTGAGTATTACAAATACAAACCAAATCCTAATCGCATGTGTTGAACTAACTTTCTGTACAGTAAATTGTTGAACTGTTGAAGGTGCAAAGACGCTATATAATATGGTAAATTTGTGATTTTGCCGTAAATCACATTTTATTGGATAGAGGAGCTCCATAAGGACACATACGTCTTTAAACTGTATTTGCATACATTTTAAACCGTATACATCTGAAATACCATTACTAAATATTTATTCAAAATCTGGCAAGATTACTACGTGTAACTGATATGAAATAGACATCTGAGTGACGTGTGTGTACTATTGTTTAGGAGAATTCACTGTTGTTAACACTGTTTTTATTAGTTTAATGCATTTTACATAAAGTAACTAAACATAAGTAATCTATTTCATTTATCCATTAGTACTGTTGAAAAATTGTTGAACATTTATGATGGATAAAAAGCTATTTATTAGCAACAACCTCAACATCTAAATGTAGTATTGAGCTCATAAATCACAGAGGTAACGTGAGTCTTGTCTGGATGTTACGGGGACGGATGAGCACACGCGGCTGCTTATCCGGTGGAGAGTGGCTCATGAAGCGCTCTTCACCGGAAAGCGTAATGCTGCCATCAAAGGCTTTGAGTGAGTATACAGAAATCAATTGAATACTTTATTTGCAGTACATTTCAATTATTGTATTTTCAAACAGAGATATAACTTTTTCATTCTTGATTTCTCTCTTGCTGCAGATCTTTTGTGGAGGAGCAGAGCCTGCAAGGCAGGGTGACGGCGGCGTTTGTTAAAAAAAAAGGGAAAACCTGAAACAAAAATACAAAGTAAGATCATTTTGTTACTTCTAATACATAAATTAAATGATTAAATATTGTGCTGTTAAAATGACTGCTTTTGTATCATGCTTGTGCATTTTTGCAGGATCTGAAATGTCCGCAGACGGGGGTGAGCACTGAGGATGGAGAGCCCACAGCAGCATCCTGGAAGTGGTACACTGCCATGGATGAGGCAATTGGGGGCAGACCCTCCATCTCTCCTCCTGCCCTCGTTGCCTCATGTGGGCCGGATGCTGCTGTGGTCTCTTCATCCTTAGTGAGGCCAGAGCCAGCAAGAGCCAGGAAAAGGGCTATAGATGTGGAGGAGCTGATCCGGGACACGGAGGAGCGAGAAGAGGAGAGAGAGCGGAAGGCAGCTGAGAGGGAGGAGAGGCTGTGGAGAGAAATGGAGGAGAAGGAGGACAGAAGAGACGAGAGAGAGAGGAAAGACAAGAAAGAGAAGTAAGAGAAAGAGAAGAGAGATGGCACCGGGAGGCAGTCGAGAGAGAGGAAAGGAGAGAAAGAGAAACCAACGAAAGGGATGAAAGGTTCCTTTCTGTTCTTCAGGTGCTCGCCAAAAAACAAATTCTGATCTTTTGCACATTTGGGTTGATGTGAATTAAATTTGTGAATAAAAATGGGAATCTATATATAGATATATAGATATACACACAGTACTGTGCAACAACTACAAATGGTGGCCTAAGAATTTTGTACAATAATATGTATATAAAACAAACTATTTCTAGGCATTCACAGTACATTACAGACTTCTAGAAATTTAGTGATACTTTAAGATTGTAATCAAATTCATAAATTAAATATTTATGAAACGTTGATTAATAATTAGTGAATGTATGGTGTAATGTAAGAAGAAAAAAACACTTTAAAACACTGGTTTTACTGTAGTGTATTATATGACTTTTAAAGGTTTACAGAGTTCATGCAAGGATCTTAAAGGCACATTATGCAGAAATTGTGTTTTAGTCAAACAGTGACCCCTATAGTCGCTGTGGAACACTTACACTGTCGTAAATAGCTATCTAGACATATGTGGACATTTTTGGACTGGTCTAATTATCAACAATGGATGAATGAACAGCATCGTAAAAAAAATGGCATACTACAAGCAAGCGCAACAACATAGAACGCAATCAAGTTTAGAAATAAGAGATTTAGGCTACTTAATCCATCAACAAGATCGCCAGGTCAGCATCGCGGTTGAATCCAGTGCTGCTTTTTAGCTCGCGCCAACTAGTGAAAGCCCGACCGAGTGGGACTGTCACAAGGAAATAGTCAAAGGATTCAGTTGCGAGTAAACAGTAATTTATTGAGCACAATAGTAGATATCTGTGTGGGTCAAAATGGAAGCAGACAGAAGAAGACTCAGGCTCGGCAACGCAGGGACGCAGTGGGCAGACACAGATGCAGGAACAGGTAGAAATTCCTCCGGGAAAATCTCAGGAAACCACAGCATGGTACAGGAGTGGAATGCAGGAGAACACGGCGAGTAGAACCCTGGTAGCCTCAACAACCAACTGACAAAGACAGGACGAGGTAACAAACAATATATCGGACATCCTCATTCAAAACAGCTGGCGCTGATCAGCTCATCAGCCGCGCCCGCCCTCGCGCTCACTCACACAACACGCACACACATAGCGAGGGCGAATCAGGGACTCTTTTCCAGGTTCCTCACGCGGTCAGATTCTCTTTTCCTTTTCCAAGTCTCTTCCGACCGCGTTTTCTTTGCTTTTTCCATCGTCAAGTATCACGTCTGAAATGCGCGCAAGTGTCTTCGTGCTTCATATGTGGTTGTTGATGTGTGTGACGTCGTTGCCGTAAAGCAAGTCGTGATTCTCGCGAGATTTGTCGGGGGCGCTCCTCTCAAACTTGCATCGCTGGTTTTTCCAGCGGCGACCCCGCCAAGCTTTATTACCAGGATGATTCGCCCTACTATGAGTTTGTTTACCACCGAAATGACTTTGAAGCTGTTATATCAAGGTACAATTCTTGCATAGTGTGCCTTTAAAGGCAGGTCATGGAGGGTTAAGTTCCAGCACACCTGTCAGTAAATTTCAAGTAGTCAGTTATTAATTGGTTTAAATTGATTCAGGGTTGGAAAAACTCTGCTGGATAATAGCCCTCCATGACCAAAGCTGAACTTGAGACTGTTTACACAAATTACACACAGTAAAATAGTGACTAAAGGGTTACTTAACCCAAGCAAATAAATCATAATAGTAATAATTCAATAGTCATTATTTACTAGCCTTGATGTTGTTTGATCCCTCTGTTTTTTGTTTTCCTGAACACAAAAGGTGATTTTGGTCAGGTTTGTACTGTTTGGTTTAATACAATATCAGTCAATGGACTTTCAGGCCATGTCCACACGGACACGGGTATTTTTATAACCGGAGTTTTTCCTACAGCGTTTTTAAAAAAAATCCCGTCCACACATGCTCGGTCTCCGTCTACATGAAAACGTAAAAACACACAATCAAGCGCGGTCAAGAGCATGCCACGCCAGCAGGCGGCGATATAAACCTTAACCCTAAAGCCACGTTGGCCAATCAGAAGCGCAAATCTGATGTCAAACACAGCTGATAACGGCGCACACTCTGACGTCGCAAGGCAAAAACCCCGGTTTCACTGTCTACACGACAACACTGTAACCGGCGTTTCTGAAAATCCTCACCCTGGCAGGGGTTTTCAAAAATGTTCGGTTTCAGTGCGTTTTCGTGTGGACGAACGGCCGAACCGCGTAAAAAAAGTCACGGTTATAAAAATACCCGTGTCCGTGTGGACAGGGCCTCAGAAGCGTCAATAAATAATGCCATGAAGCTTCTGAAAGTTGGGCTCCATTGACTGATATTGTATGAAACCAGCAGAACAAACTTGACAAAAATTCCCTTTTGTATTTAAACAATAAAAAACATTAAATAAGTAAATAGTAAACCGTAAACAATTGCTGTATTTATATGTTGAGGTGAACTAACCCTTTAACCCACCAAATATAAATTGTAGTAAATTTATGTATGCATTTTGCATTATAGTAATTCCTTGACAAACTAAGCAGCTTTGACTGTTTATGGCCATGACTGGTTCAAAAAATGCTTTACAAATATCAATCACATTTATGCATTTGACATTTTTTATCAAAAGTGATTAACTCCATTTATTTACAGGGACAATGACCCTGGACAAACCTGGAGTAAAGAGCCTTGCTGATTGACCAGCAATCTTCTTCTAACCAGTTCATTGGTTTATCCCTCTACACTACAAAAGGTTTTAAAGCTCTAACAAATATTTGCATGTAATTGTAAACCTATAAAATGACATTTGTCAAGAAACTGAATGCTGACAACATGAATTTTAAAACATTTTTATCTTTCTTAATGTTTTAAAGATAGTCGTGCTCATGGAGAGCCGGCACAGGGATGTTTGGAGCAGACACTGCAGCAGCCAGATTGTCCCGCACTTGTTCTCCCACTCTTGCTTCAAGGTTGTGGGGATCAGGGGGGCCGTCATCATGGTCTTCCTCATCCTCTGGCTCAACGATGTCCCCATTGGCTAGAGCGAGATTGTGAAGCACAGCGCAGCACGCAACAATCTCAGGCACGAAGGCAGGGCTCACCTCCAAGGCCTTGAAGAAAATGCAGCGCCAGCGTGTCTTCAGCATCCCAAAAGCTCTCTCCACGATGTTGGGGGCACGGGAGTGCTTGCTGTTGAAACGAGCCTGCACAGGGTTCTGCACCGGCTCTCTGTAAGGGGTGATGAGGCAGATGGGGGCACTCAGGCAAGGATAGCCTCCATCCCCGAGGATGCACTTGCCTGCAGGTGGGTAAAGGCTGCCAGCATACACAGGGCTGTTCCTCAGCACCCTGGCATCGTGCACAGACCCAGGATATCCCACAAAGACATCAAGGAATTTCCCCCGGTGATCAGTGATGGCCTGGAGTTGGATGGAGTGAAACAGCTTCCTGTTGAAGTAACAGTGGGAGTTATTTGCTGGAGGTTTGATACGGATATGACAGCCATCTATTGCACCAACTACTGTGCTGAAAGCTGGTGACCCAGACAGCTGCACAAATCCTGCTCCCACTGCCTCCAGGTCATCTCCGGTCGGAAAGCAGATCACCCTCCTCAAAATTCCTATGATGGCCTTGCTCACTCTGTGCACAATGTCATGCACAGAGGTCTTTGGGATATCGCAGGTCTGCGACACCACCCTGTAGGATGCTGCATGGGCCAGCCAGTGCAGGAACACAAGGACCTCAATCTCCCGTTCCCATCCATGGTCAGATCCAGGTCTGACTGCAGCAATCGGGGACCTGATGGACGGCATAGACAGGCGAAGGTGGGCACGGTGGTCAGCTGCCTCATCAAGATAAAGCCGCAAAATGGGAACAGCTCTATTGAGATGGCAGTATGATGTGGGGTTCACTGCCTGCAATAAATACATCATTTGTTAGAACAAAAAGCTTGAATAAAGCGATGTTTCATGTGGTATTGACTTGTATATGTATTTATTTATTGTGATGATTTCTTTTATTCATTCACTTATTTTTATTCATGTTTCATATTGTTGTCAGTAAATAAAATATGAATTTCATGAATAAAAATGTATTTACATCATCTGCATTTGTCTAGCGTGTATTCATGCATAGCTATGTCATATGATAATACAAAAGTTTGCTTGTTTTACAAAACTACATAATTAATAATGTATATATATATTATAATAATGTTATATAATTAACTGTTGGTCACAGCATTTGTCATAATTATTGTGCATAAGTGTTGGGATGGGCTAGTAATGAAATTCTTTCTGGGGTAATCTTAATTGTTTAAGTAGTAATACTTGCTTTGTTTGAGAATAAAATCATCAGTCTTCTCCAAAGGCGAGATCGTCGAGCAGCTGCCCGACGTATCCTTTGTGCACACCTTAATCTAACAATTGCAGACATGCCAACCATTTCAAACGCTGAACTAAACCGTTCTAGTAAAGTTGTCGAGTTACTGATGCAATCAGCTGTTAGTGCACCTGTCGCTCATGACTTTTAAATTGTTGCGCTTGTGAAAACGTCATAGGTCAGATTGGGGAGCTGATAGTGAAACTATGATGATGATTTATAGAGCAATGATAAGATCGACTATCGATTATGGCTGTGTGGTTTATGGGGCAGCAGCCCCTTCAGTTATTAGAAAGCTTGATATAGTTCAAGCAAAAGCTCTTAGAGTGTGTAGTGGGGCATTTCATACAACACCAATACCTGCGCTATTAATAGAAACAGGGGAGATGCCATTAGAAATAAGAAGACGTAAACTTGGTTTGAAGTATTTAATGAAACTAAAAGGACAGACTGGAAAGTTACCAACAAAAAACC